TGTGATTAATTTCCTTCATCCAAATATTTATAAACACATTTACCTGATACATACCAGGTAAAAGGCAACAAGAACTGAAATACTTTGAATGTGTTTACCCAGTGCTTCATTTTCACTTAGGATTTAAGACAAGTTAGTAACCCACCTCTACTAATATTGACCATCTTTTAAAAATATGTATACGTTGGATGTTATGTTCCTTCTAATCATAGCATCAAGAAAGTTATTTGGTTTAGTTACAGAATTCCATCCAGAACTTTGAATGACCTTTCTAAAGATCCACTTGGATTGTCATCACTTCTTAACCCTTAAGGCATTAAGTAACAAACACTAGCTTTCAGCACTCATCTTTTTTTCCTATGTCCTAAAAATACATTTTTATAAAAATCTCTATTTTATGTCTTAGGAGCCGTCCTTCCATGGAGCTTGTTCTCTGGAAACCTCTCCCTGAACTCCTTTGTGATAAGCCAAAGCCATCTGCTAATGCTAAGAACTACACAGGAGCAAGCCAGGCTAAGCATGCAGCTGTTGGCCCTGCCTTCGCACAGAGGACTGAACTGTTCTTGGAACCACAGCAAACAGGGGTGCCTCTTTATAATAGTCTGGAGACGGCTGCTTGCACAGAAGAAGAGATGGAACTCTAGAAACCGTTTTCTACAGTAAAGTTGTCAGATTTTAGAAGGTTCTTGTGTTTCGCCATGAGCCTACTTGCATAGTACAGGAACTTGAAGGTTGTATAAAACAGGTGTGATAACATCACAGGTGATGCAGGATGGAACTTTTCACTTTGGGTAGCCATTTATTGAAGTCAACTTTTTGCCAAGGAAGCTTTTCTCCAGGGAAAAACCATTTTCTAGGGTCTTATTAAGAGAGCTGTCACCCTCTACATAGGCAAGTATAGAAGCTGTATGGGTCAGGGTAACTTTAGCCACTGATTACATTGTTAAAACCATTCAGATCCTCTGAGACTAATTTCCTCAAGTTAAAAAAAGTTGCATTAGGAAAGGAGACCGCTCCTACCACAGCTGACAGTTGCATCAAGAGTCCAGTATGTGAATAGCTCTGTAGAAGAAGGAAAGCAGTAGCTTAAGCCTATTAGAAGTTGGACGGAAGGCCCAGTGTTCGTTATCAGCTCAGTCTCTCTCAGTTAAATATCCAGTAGCATGTGGCTTACCACTTCACCTCTGAAGACGTGGTGATGATGCAAAGAAAAGGTTTTTCTTTCCAAGTTCAATTGCCTTGGCCTACTGTTGTTCCTTGGTTGCCTTGCATAATTGACAGCCTGGTTATTCAGGAATGTTTACAATCTAAGTCACTTTGAGTTAAGATATTGAGGTAAGAAAGTACAAAGTGGCTGGGGAGAAGCATCCCTTAGTTCATCCTAGGGAAGTGCTATGCAGTGAAACCCAGAATGGCTACTTTCTGGAATGAAAAAAAAAAAAAGGTGGTACTTGTATTAGCAAATTGTTTGGGTTTTGTTTGTATGTTTTATCTGAATTTAGAAAATAGAATGAACAATTAACTGAGAACACATAGGCAAGTAACATTGAGATTAACTGCAACAGCCAATTTGCCTGGTGCTTAAACTATGGTGCAGTCAGACTAAAAGTTAGTAGAAAATTGCTTTCTGCTAGCAGAGCACCTTCACTTCTTGAATACCCAAACCAGGCTCAAGGTGTCCAATGTCCTTCAGGGATTACCAGGACTGATTGAAGTTTTTTATTTCTCAGGAAGAGTTCTTCTTTGTGGCAAAAGACTCAGTCCAAAGTAAAATGGTAATTTCTTTACTGCTTATTAGAACTTCTAAATGAGTCTAATACTGACCCGCTCATCACACAAGAGACCACTCCAGTTCTTTTTGTTTTCATTTATTTTTGGGGTTTCTTGCCCCTTTGTAGGAATCGGATACTTTGTGTAGGAAATAAAAAGTGTGTATGCCAAGTAGAGGGGAAGTTTAGAAAACAGCTCCCAGGCAGCTTTGAAACTCATGCTGAAATCCCTTCCCATGTGTTCCACGTGGCTTAAGAGTCAGTGATGAGTCTCTTCATCAGACTTGTTCCTTCTCTTGGCCTGTTGTTCTTACTTTCTTCTATTTCTGTCTGGATAGTCAGGAAAAGATTGAATGTTTAATATTTAAACAAAGTATTTAATGTCTACACAGTAAAATGACACAAACTTCAAACCAGTATTGCAACCAGTTGGAAACCAGCTAATCGTTTCTTAATCTCAGACTCAGAGATGAATGTAAACTGTATTCTGTTGAAATGTGTACATTTTGATTCATGCCATTAGAAAAACTCTTGCCTTGTGGATATTGTTTAATGGGACCAACTTGTGAAGTATGTAGCCTTAAAAGAAGTCTCCATGCTAAGCAGTTTATTCTAGCACAACTGAAAACCGTGACGTGACTATCCGGAGTTGGGAGTTAGCTCCCAGTGTTAGGGTGGAAGTTGAGATGATAGATTTCCAAAGAAGGACCCACAACACGACTGTGATTGTCTTCTGTAGGAATTATTGGGCAGGCCTCTGATCAAAGGTCTATATGATGGAGAGAAGGGCCTCATACAAGGCTCTGGCACTATTGGTAGATAGTCTCATACAAGAGATCCAAGGTTCTGTTCATTACAATCCAAACCAAATTCATTTCAGGAGTCAAGTTATCTGACATATTTATTTCTGTAGGAAAGTGGATATGTAGTGCTCCTTTCTGAAAATTTTATCTTCTTACATATGTTTATACAAAGGTTGTTTTCTTCATCTTGTGGTACCGTCTCCACGGAGCTGTGTCCATAGTCCTGATGTCTCTGCTTGTTTTTCTCTCATAGCACACAGGTTTTGCTTTTACCCTAACCTTTTCTTTCCAAGTCTGTTTCATTGGATACAGCTTTTACAGCATGGATCAGACATTGGCTTACTATGCTAATGTGTGAAGAGAAAAAATGATCTAAAGCAGGTGAGCTTTAATGAACAAATGTATATTTTCTCTAAGTTTGAGTAGGGTGTGTATGTGTGTGTGTGTGTGTTATTTTGTTGTTGTTTTTTTATTACTATAAAGCAAAACTGGTTCTCACAAATACTAATTAAATTAAAAACCAAGCTATTCTTGAAGTTACAAATGTCAAATTTCGGAAAAATAAGAGTGAGAGCTGGAACATGAGAAAAATGTTTACCAGCAAATTAATTTTGTTATTTTGGATCTGGAACTTGGTTTGGTTTTGTTTCTTAATAGTGATAAGAATGATGCAGTCATAGGAATGTTCTGGAAGATGCTGTCCATTTTACTATTCATCTGAGAACCTGGTGTTTCTGTATTTTATCATTTTGAATAAAACTTCTGAAGTGTTTTGGACTTTGGGAGATAATTCATTTAGTAAATTGGATACCTCTGCTTGCTTCTAAATTGGCAGTTACAAGTAGTACTCATATGAGTGATGGATTTATTTAAATGTATCCTAAGAGATGGTTATGTTAGGTCGAAGGTAAATTAAAAATTTGCTTTTTCAAAAATAGGACTGTTTGCCATTCTAAAGTCCACAGGATGCCCTTCACTACGGGCAAGCCCCTGCTGTTGATTTGTCAGAAGATGCAGTGGTGTCTTCAGAAATGGTCTGCATGCCACTGAAAAGGGCATAGCATTCAGAGGTGGACTGGGAACAGGAAGATGAGGAATCGGAAGTTACACCATGTTCTTGAGCCCACAGGTCACAGGGTGGCAGTGTTGCCTGCATATTCATAACCATGTTTGTGATAGATGGGACTCCCTGATTTGTTGGGCAGTGAGAGTGAAATGTGGGCTGCAATTAAAGAAAACAGAATACTGATGTGTTTTTAGCCAGAATTTGAGTATCACTAAAGACATAGTTATCTCACTCATTTTAAAATTTTTTACATTTGGAATCTAAAGGCTATTGAGAAGGGCATTTAGTAGTATAATCTGACTCCCATGTTCTTGCCACTCTACAAAGTCTTTGTAGTAATGCATGTGGTTAGTCATTTGAACTTCCTTGAAATCATTAATCAGGAAAATATTTTCAGGCAGAGTGTAGATTAGCTCAAATCTTCTAACATCATTAATTTCTTGGATCCTCATAACGTGGCATTTTGGAGATAAAAGTGAGGTGTAAGAATTTTTTTTTATTACAGCTCCAACAACATAGTCAAGCTAGTTTACTGTCCCTTAGTGAACCTTGGAAGTCACTGGTAAAGATTTGATTCTTTGAAGACTACAATTTAACTGATACCTCTAAAGACTGGGAGTGGCAGCATGATCTTGCAGCCCTGTCCCTGCTCTCATAGGATGGCTAGGAGAAAATCATGAGACCCAGGGAAATAGTGTGGGCATATTGGCATCTGAATCTTTGCACTCAATTGTGGAATATTAAGGCACACTCATTAGAAAGCTTGCTTTAATTTTTTGGCAAAATATCTTGATGTTTAGTTGTAACCATTGGATTTTGTGTTTCAATATGAAAATGCCCTTTAATAGCAGGTGTTTTTTCAGGGCAGAGCATAGTGCTTAATAATTGCCACCCATCTGTACAGGAAATGAAAGACCTGAATCTACACTGGTTAGCTATGTTCTGTGTGGTTTCTGCGAGGACAGCTGCCTCTTTCATGATGTCACTGAATATAGATTACGTGAACCGTAGCTCCCAGATGTTTGTACTGTCACAACCCCAAAACCAAACCCACTGCCATTGAGTTGATTCTCCCTCAGGGACCCTCCAGGACAGAGGAGAGCCACCCCATATGGTTTCCAAGGCTGTTGATCTTTTTCCTAAAGAGTGTGGCAGGTCCAAACCATTGCGTTAACCAGTTTGCCACCAGATCTCCTGCTTTGCTATTCAAATGGGGGTGCTATGTGCCTGTAATCTCAAATGGTTTATATAGGCTCCAAATGGATGTTCAGTTCCAGAACATCATGGGGCACAAGGGAGATAAGCTCAGTCATAGAAACAGCTGAAGGCAGTCCATACGTTGTGATATGAGAACTCAGCACTGGGCACTAGATGGTCTTAGCTTCAGATAAGAGTTACGGTGGTTTTCTGGGATAAGCACTGGAATGCTAACTGCAAGGTCGGCAGTTCAAACCCACCAGCTGTTCTGCTTCCATAAAGATTTATAGCCTCAGAAACCCTATAGAGGGTCACTACAAGTAGAACTGACTAGACTTCATTTAACAACTTCAGGTCTGCTTGTGGGCTTTGGCTGTCTCCACAGCATATTTGTTCCCTTGTACTTGAAAGAATCCTGGTGTGGCACTGTAGGGTAAGCCTTCGTCCATGAGGTCAGTTTGAACTACAAGGTTGGTGGTTCAAACTCATCAGCTGCTCCTCGGAAACTACAGGGTTGCTATAAGTCAGAACAGACTCAACATCACTTAACTTGAAGTGGTAAGATTGCTTGCTGCTTGGGGTTCTTGCATCTTGCCTCTTTTCATGTGTTCATTCACACTGGCCTCTCCTCAGGTTGTTTGGTGGTGGTGGTTATGTGCCGTGGAGTCAGTTCCAACTCATAGCGAACCTGCACAGGGTTTCTGAGGCTATAAATCTTTATGGAAGCAGAAAGCCTCATCTTTCTCCCACGTAACAGCTGGTAGTTTCAAACTGCTGACCTTGAGGTTTGCAGCATGGTTCGTAACCATTACGCTACCAGAGCTCCATTAGTTTGTTAGCAAATGGAAATAAAGCCATTTCAATGCTATGTTGACTTAGAAGAACTTCATCTGCTGGCATAGGTAAAATTTAAATGAGGGAAGTCCTATACTCTCTGAAAAGGATTTTCAATGTAAAGACCCACTCTTGATAAAATGAGGTTAGCCTCTATATTTAGGTAATTTAGATTTAATCCCTTTCAAAGTAGATTAGGGGGAAACAGCTAACTTTCAAGCACTTAGCATAGTGTCTGGCGTATACTAAAGTACTTAAAAGTGTATTATGTACCTAGGGTTATCTGACTAGCCAGTGGTAGAGTTGAACCCAGAGGGTATGAATCTAGAAAATTCTTTTAATCCTTACATAATGACAAGAGAATCCTAGTATTCAATGGCATGCCCTTCTCTACCATTTTATAAGATGTGGTGCTGTAGGATAATGCACCAGAATGCAAGGTCAGTGGTTCAAACCCACCAGCTGCTTCTTGGAAACTATACAGGGTCACTATGAGTCGGAATTTAGTCTATGGCACTTAACAGCATAGCAAATCAGTAGTAGTTACAGGTTATAACTCTGGGTCAGGTTGACTTAGTTTTGCACATAGCTGTCACTTAACTGTGATTTTGGTCAGTTTTGTTTTTTTGGGGTAAAGAAACTCAGAAATATAGTACCTGCTCCAAGAGTAGATTATCATAGCCAGGAATTGCACGAGGTAGTAATGAAGAGGGAAAAAAACCTGCATTCACTGTAGTAAGCATGCTCCCTAAAATTTGATAGGTTATTACCACCACAGCAAAGAATAGAAACGTTCAGAGAAAACACTGACTTAGGGCCCCAGGAGGACTAAAAAGAACAAAGAAACTGCATTGCACTTTTTAATTGCACAGGTAGTTTTAAATAAAAGGCGAAAGCACCTCCAAAAGCTACGGTAGCAGGGAAAACTTATCAAGCATTTACATAGTAAATTTCTATAATTTTACAAGATTCTTGATCTTTACTTGGACTGTACATGAGGGAAAAGTTAGCCCCCTCAGGTAAAGGTCCTAAACTTGGAGGCAAGCCTGGGATGCTCATGGGAGAAATGAAGAGCCATTCACAAATCTCATGTCTACTTTAAGAACTCGTCGGGTGACCCTTACATCTTAATATCTGGTTCATCTTATTTTAGGGTAATGCCACTAGTATAAAGATGCAAGCCCAAAAGCTGTAGTTCAGAATTATTTGTAATATAATAATTACCTTGGATTGAGTACCTTGGACTGGCTGGATGTCAAAAGACAATACTTGGGGTCATCTATGAGGTTTGAATAGACTTTAGAGGAATTCTCTAAGATGGTATCCTTTTACTTGGGAGTTTTGAGCACATACAGGCTTCTGGGTCATTCTCCAGGCAGTGATGTTAATATGCAAGGGAAAGGGCAATAGTGTTGGATCAAATTGCTAGACACTAATTAGCTGGGGAAATAGCTCACTGGCAAATGTGTCCTCCCAAGAATGGTCTACACCAAGTGGAGAGGACATGGTGCTGAAAGGGGAGGGGGAACCCTCATAGCCACAGTCACTGTAGGTGTCCAGCAGGCAGGAAGATGGCTTCAGGCAGTGACTAGATGAGAGGAGATTTGACATACTCAGCTCTGGATTGAAGTCATCTTCTACAAGTTCTTCCTTCACCAAGATGGTGAATTCCTGATGATCTTTCTCTGAGGGGCTGAGAGGTGCTTCCTCAGTTTTCACTACCACGCTCGCTTGGCTCTCTGTCTCAGAGGGCACCTCTAAGACTAGGGGCTTGGTATATACGTGGTCAAAACGAATGAGTTCATTAATGGCTTCCAGCTTGGCTGATGGCGTCCCCAGTGATGGAGAAGGGGAGGTGGGTAAGGAACTAGGTCCTTCTGGGTAGACTTCTGGGAGCTCCTCCAGGCTGGCTGATTCTGGGGAAAGATATCTGAAGAACATGATGGGGTCCATGTCGTCCAGAATGCCCAAAAGGATATCAGACTGCAAGAAGCAAAAAATAAATTGAGTCTCACAATCAGGATGCACTTGATGATGCACCTAGAACACTTGGTGTATTAGGTTTCCTAATGTCAATGAATCACTCTGATGGTCACAGGATGACCAATCCTGGCATGGCGCTATGGATTAATGTGCTGGACTGCAAAGTAGGTTTGAACTACAAGGTCAGTGGTTCAAGCTTACCAGCCGCTCCTCACACAAACCTATACAGGGTCACTATGGGTTGGAACCAACAACGACAATCAAGCCCATTTATCCACACCTCTATGTCCCAAATTACCTGGAAAGAGGAATGCATTTAATGCTCCCCTTGAACCTCACCAAAACCATCTTTCTCTGCCCTCATGGTGGCTGTAACTAGTTACACAGCTCTAACAATTCATAAGGATCCTTACCTCAGAGTCTGAAGAGTCCACACCATCAGAATCCACTGGGAGATGTTCTGGAGGGGTGACAACTGGGCCTGCACCTGCTGCAGAGGTGCACGTAGTCTGAGTGCTGCGGACTCAGCAGACCCGGCCACCGGCCTCACTCCATTCCCCTAGGAGAAAAGATGGAAATGATAAACAGCTGAACAGCCACTAGTCTTGCAGAAAATGCTAGCCAGGCAGTCATGATTCTCAACTTTGAAGAAAGCTAGAAAGCAATTTATTTTTCTTTTTAAAACTTTTTATGATTCACCCATTTTATTGTATGGAGCTGTCATTAAAAAAAAACTTTGTAATGTGAATTGGCTGAGGATTTACAGTGTATTCCATTTAACAATTCAGACACATTTTTGTTTCATCTCACTGACTACAATCCCCTCAATATAACCACTTATCCCACCACTTCCTGTGTTTCCTATTTCTAAACCCTTCTTTCCTATCCCTTCTAAACTTTGTCCTGGGTTAATGCTATTTATTTTTATTGTTCCCCTTACAGACCTGTCTATAGTTTGGATGAAAACTGAGCCATACTGGTGAGTTTATTTCCAGACTTGAAGGATGACTAAGGGCCATAATCTCAGGGCTTTCACTAGTCTTACCAGACTAATAAGCCTGGTCATTTTTTTTTATGGTTTTGAGTTCCACATTTTTCTCCTACTCTATCCAGGAACTTTTGATGTGATCCCTTTGAGAGCAATTGGCAGTGGTAGTCAGGCACCATCTAGTTCTCATCTCAAGATCATGAAAACAGATTCTCGTAGTCTACTGGACTAAGTGGAAAACCAAGTTTTTAGAACAATCTTTCCCTTTGCCATTTCCATTTAAAGTCATCCTCAAGAATGGCTAAGAAAACAACTGCAAGACTAACTTTTCGCTGTTACTTTCCCTATCTGATTTTTTCCCCATCTGATGCAAAGATTCAGACCAGACCAGATCAATATTTTAAATCATACTTTCAATAAAGTTCTGCAGCAAATTTCAGCCAAAAATCTTTTATTTTTTCCAGTTTTTCCTGAACACTTATCTTCACAGAATAGAACTGCTATTATCAAACTTAGACTTTCACTCGGGTTGTCACTGAACTGACCATCGACAATAAACTAAAACTCACACATGCATCATGCTTATCAAAGAGGTGTCTGTCACAAAAAGTCGGTTCCCTACTCATTCATGTGTATCAAAGAACGGCTGTAGTTTTAGTCATATTCAAAGTCTGATCATCTCTCATTATAGTTCTCCTTAATATCTGCATGATTCCATTTTGCTGGCTCTCTGTATTTCTTGGTACTTGTTCTTAGCCATGTATTCGGATTCTTAGGACTATTTACACTTGAAGATAGAATAAGTGTACTTAGTTAGAGAAAGGAAACCTTGCCTTAATGGAAATGTTTTAAAACTACAGTATAGTATCAAGAATACTTGTGATTAGTGCTCCAGAATGTTAAAAATCATGTGGTTATGTTATAGCCGGTTCTCACATAATGAATAAAATAAAGGACATGAGTTACCTTGGTTTCCACCTCATCTTCATTCACCAGGGCATCCATCCCCAAGCGCTGTCTTAACTCCTGGTTCTCGACTATAAGGCCATGAGTTTTCTCTCGCAAAAGCTGATTTTCTAGCAAAAGTTTTTGGTTCTGGAAGCAAGTTCATAAGAGGCTACATTAAAGTAATTGATTTGTTTTACTTCTGAATTCACGTGATCGTTTCACTACAATTGGTTCTCTTTCCTTAACTTCTAGGAAATCATGCTTATGTAATTGTCTGTGGTAGGTACTAGAAGGGCAGTCCATAACTATGAAAACTAAGCTACTTAAGAAATAGCATTTTGCAGGACGGTCATCAATAACACAATGCCTCCACCTACTAATATGTTGTTGCTGTTAAGTGCCAGCAACTCATGGTGACTCTGTATAGGGTTTCTGAGGTGCAGCTGGAGTGAACTGCTGACCCTGTGATTCAAACCAACCTTGCAGTCCAGTTACTAACCTGAAGCACCACACCAGGACTTCAGCCTCAGTAAAAGGTGATTTGGGGTTTTAATATAAATTGTTTGTTGTTGTGTGCTATTGAGTCAATTCTAACTCACAGCAACCCTGTAAAGGGTTTCTGAGGAACAGCCAGTGGGTTTGAACCGCTGACCTTGTGGTTTGTAGTTCAGTGCTGATCCTATAGCGCCACACCAGGACTCCAGAAGTGGTAGTTATTATTAAGTGCTGTTGAGTCAGTTCTAACTCATAATGACCCTACTTAAGAGTTTCTGAGGAGTGGCTGGTAGGTTTGAACCACCAACCTTGTGGTTAGCAATCCAGTGCTTATTCTATACCGCCACACCAGGGCTTCTAGAAGTGCTAGCTGTTGTTAAATACTGTTGAGTCAATTCCGACCCATAGCAACCCTGTATAGGGTTCTAAGGTGCAGCTGGTGAGCTTGAACCACCAATCTTATAGTTCAAACGACTGCAGTCTAACGCATTAGCCATAGTGCCACACCAAGACTCCAGAAGTAACAGTTTGTTGTTATGTGCCATGGAGTCGGTTCTGACTCACAGTGACCCTGTACAGGGTTTCCGGGGCTGTAAATCTTTACAGGAGCAGAAAGCTTCATCTTTCTCCCACAGAACAGCTGGTAGTTTTGAACTGCTGACCTTAAGGTTCGCAGCCCGATTTGTAACCACTATGCTACCAGAAGTGGTAGTAGTGGAGTAAAAATAAAACCAAACAAAACTCCTTATAAAATCCATCTAATAATAAACTTTTAAAACAGTATGAATGGGAAGTCATTGCTTATGGATCACTGAGTTTCTGTTTAATTAAGAAATAACACTTGAAAATGGGTATTGGAGATAGTTGTGTAACATAGTGAAATGCAATTAATGTCACTGAATTCACAACCTTTGAGAAAGATCCAGCACCAAATGCCAGAGGGTCTGTCTTAAAATCATTGTGCTTTCAGTAAGTTTTACCATTTCAACAATAAACCTATTAAGATACTTGATTTACTTAACTTTTAATTACAAAAACAAACCCATGGCAGTTGAGTTGATTCCAATTCACTCAACTGTAGTTAAAACAATTTGGAATAAGCAAGTATCAGAACATTCCCCAAGGAAGGATTTACAAGGGATATAAGCTAAGAGTCCGTCTGGCCTTACAGCATTCATACCTCTTCTTCCAAATCCACCACTTGTTGTTCCAGCTCAGTCATCCGCGCTTTCTTGCGGTCTCTGGCGGTCTGAGCTGCTACTCTGTTTTTCAGTTTCCTGAGAACAGAAGGAGCACACGACACTGAGTCTCTCAGACCTTATTTCTATCTCTATTCGAAAATTTGACCAGCTGGTGCTTTCATTTTAATTTGTGGTTTAAACTAGATGAATGGTAAAATATTCCCCCAGCTCCCTCCCTCAACAAAACAAAACAAGATACGCGGCCCTCTGCCCATATGGCTCATATTGCATCATCCCCTGGTCTCTTCCTGGCCTGGGCACACACACAGCTTTTGACCTTGCATCATAAGAAACTGTTCCTCCTCCCCCTCCTTCTTTGCCCCAGCTGTTTCTTGAATCCAGTTTTCCCTAAACTGTGCCCTACCTGGACTGATTAGATATAGGAGGGCTGTCATCACACTATGACATAATCCCTTCTCCCCAAATCCCACTTGGATAAGAGTCGAGATTCTAGGTAAGACCCCCACCCCCATGGCTGAGCTCAAAGAGGTTTTGATAAATCACAATAATTAAAAAAGTCACTAGGATTGACAGAGGGCTAAGCAGTGGTGTGGCAATACAGCACTGGACTGCAAAATTGGTTTGAACCACAAGGTTGGCAGTTCAAACTCACCAGCCACTCCTTGGAAACCCTTATATAGGGTTGCTATGAGTCAGAACCACTCAATGGCATGTAACAACAACAACAAAAGTACTCACTAGGAGTCTTTGTGTGACACTACAGGATAAGCATTGGACTGGTAACTACAAGGTCAGTGGTTCAAACCCATCAACTGCTCAGAAACCGGATACAGGGTCTCTGAGTTGAACAGACTTGGTGGCCCTTAACAACAAGTATGGTTACGTCGTGGGATGCTAACCAAAAGGTTGGATCCCACACAGCAGTACCTCAAAAGAAAGTCTTGGCCATCTGCCCCCTTGAGAATCTTGTAAAGATCATAGCCTAGAAAACCCTACAGGGCAGTTCTACTCTGTTATGTGAGGATTCCACAGCACCCAACAAGTATTAGGCATATAATATGCAAGTTTTAATCTCCTCAACCACCTCAGGAAATACAAATAGGTCCCATAGGTCCCATTTTAAGAATGCTGAGCTTCACCATTCAAAATGCCGCGGGCTCAAGGCCCTTTCACTAATTCTGTCATTTCAGCTCTGTGCCCTTCCAGAAAGGGAGATCAACTAGGAAGAGGCGAATCCACCCCCACGTTACAGTGGAGAAGCCCAATTCAGAGAGGCTGAGCGGCTGGTCTGCGGTCACACAGTAAGAGGGCCTAGAGCCCTGGTGCCCAATTCTGGCCACCTTTAAAACCCACAGCCATGGAGTCCATTCCGACTCATCACGAGGCTATAAGGCAGAGTAGTTGCTTTTAAGTGGTGTCGAGTCGGTTCCGACCCATAGCGACCCTGTACAGGTTTTCCGAGGCAATAAATCTTTACAGAAGCAGAAAGCCTCATTTTTCTCCGGTGGAGCGGCTGGTAGTTTCGAACTGCTGACCTTACGGTTCACAGCCCGTTTCATAACCACTACGCTACCAGAGCTCCTTAGGACCGAGCAGAAGCACCCCTTAAGATTTCCGAGGCTGTCAATGTTTACAGGAGCCTCGTCTTTCTCCTGAAGAGTTACTGGTGGGTTCGAACTGCTTATCTTGAGGTTGGCAGCAACGTCCAACCCACTGCGCCACCAGGCTCGTCCATCTCTAAGGAGGACGAAAAAAGGCGTCAACGGCGGACACTGCCGGGTTTCCTGCCCGCCCCGCCCCGCGCCACGCTGGCACCGGCCATGTCCCCTGCGAGTATCCGAGTGAAGCGACGCAATCGTAACCCAGTCCCAAGCCCCCGAATCCCCGCGTCGACGCGGGTCCTACGCCCCCGGGGCCCGCGCCCACCTCCGCAGCGCCTTCTCTTCCGGGCTCAAGTGCGTGAGGCGCTGTCGCTTGCGCGCCTGGGGCGTTTCCCCGCCCGCCGCCTCGGAAACCATGAGCGGCAGGGCCCGGCCGGCCGGGGCCCCAGCGGCAGCGGCGGCGGCGGCGGCAACCGGGGAGGGCTTGCTAGACAGAAGCAGCATCTTGGGGGCCCCAGCGGCCGGGCTCGGCGCGGCTGCCACCACCACCATGGCCACAGCCAGTCTCCGCGAGTGCGCGCTGCCACCGCCCAGTGCGCCGCCCTTGCAACACCCAGCCTTTCTATGGTCGTGGCCCTCCGCGATTGGCCAGCGTCATGTGACGCGCAACCTAGCTCGGCGTCCATTGGGCCGGCTGGCCAGGCGGGGGTGGGACCAGGGCGGGGCCGCGGCTGGGGCTGAGGAGGCTCTCCTTGGAGGCCACTGTCCCCGGCAGGGGGAGTCCGGGGCCTCTGCCTCCCGGTGACAGGAGGGGACGGTACGGAGGGCAGGGGCCCAGAGGCCCGGGGTACCCACAGATCCACCGGGAACCGTCGAGGCAAGCCGACACTCGCGCTGGAGAGGTCCGGCTGAGCCCAATTTTCCTTTCCCCAGGCTGATCGAGAAATCCCAAACCGACAGATGTCCTGCCTGACCAATGTGTATTGAGACAAACAGACTTTGACTTTAGCCGGACACAATTTTATTTCGCTTGCCCCTTGAGGCCCAGAGTGGAGCGGAAACTAGAGCGCGAGAGAGATCGAATCGGATCTTGGATTAGAAACAAGTCTGGAGAGAAATGCCCTGAAATCAAAGGTTCCATTGGGAAATGAGGCCATTTGACACTTAGTTTAGCACAGAAACCCACTACAATCAAGTTTAGCTCGTTGTTGTTAAGTGCCATAGAGTCTGTTCTGACTCACAGTGAAACGCATAGGGTTTCCGAAGAGCAGCTAGTGGGTTTGAACCTTTGATCTTGAAGTTACCAGTCCAGTGCTGTTCCTACAGCCACACCAAGACTTCTTTGTTGCTGTGGTGCTGTAAGATCAGCACTGGACTGGTAACTTCAATATCAGCGGTTCAAACCCACCAGCCTCAAAACTCTATATAGGGTCGCTATGAGTCGGAATCGACTCCATGGTACTTAACAACAGCAAGTACCGTTGAGTCGGTTCCGACTCACAATGAGAAGTGACTGGTGAGTTTGAGCCGTGGCCCTTTAGTACAAACCGACCTCGCTGTCCAGGGCTTATCCTGCAGAGCCGCACCAGGAAGGACTCCACCAGGACTCCTAGTGAAGATTTTTTTTTTTTTTTTAATGATAAATGTTTTTTTTTAATCCATATTGTGGGAATACACTGAACGTAATTTTTCTTTGTATCTCTAAGCTCTCATCTGCGAGTATACGTTAAACAAATGCAAGTTAAAACGGGGAGGGGGTTATCTTCAGTCCTGTCGTTTCCTGGCGGTTCGAGACTGCTGCCTGGCAGTTACTGGACAGTCAAAGACAAGCAGTGAAGATGCAGCAAGACAGCAATTTAGATACAAGAATATTAAAATGAAGAAACTCTGGAAAGCGTGCTAAATATTTGTGTTAATGTTCTCGATGCAAATTGGTTGGTTATGTGCCGTGGAGGCCGGGTCGACTCAGAGCAACATTGTACAGGGTTTCCGAGGCTATAAATCTTTACGGGAGCAGAAATCTTCATCTTTCTCCCGTGGAAGAGCTGGTAGTTTCCCACTGCTGACCTTGCGGTTCACCTCCCGATTCGTAACTGTTACACTACCAGAGAATAATGCTAAACTCCCTAGAATTGCACAGCAATACTTTCTTCAGCAAGTGACTGTGGCTACTTAGCCTTCCTTATTCTAAGGTCTAAATATGCAAGGAGTCCTGGTGTGGCACTGTGGGTTAATGCACTGGACTGCAAGGTCAGCTTGAACCTCAAGGTCAACAGTTCAAGATTACCAGCCCTTCTTCAGAAACCCTATACAGGGCCCATGAGTCAGAACCGATTTGATGGCACTTAACAACCACCACCACCACAACAACAAATATGCAAATTATAGTAACTCTGTAGCTGGTAGTTGGAGGGTATGCAAAAAGTGAAATGTTAAGGTAGCTATACTCTATAAAATTCTTCATTGTTAGTAAGTTAGGAGAAAGAGGCCTGGTGACTCAGTGATTAAAGAGTTCAGCTGCTATCTGAAAGGTCAGCAGTTGGAACCCACCAGCTGCTCAGGAAGAGAAAAACATAGCAATCTGCTTCTGTAAAGATTTGCAGTCTAGGGAACCCCATGGGACAATTGTCCTCCATCCTATAGTGTCATTATGGGTCATAATCCCCTGGTCAGACAAGGTTTTGTTTTTTGTTTTTTTTTGTAAATTTGACTTGTTGTTGTTGTTAAGTGCTGTTGAGTCGATCCTGATCCATAGAGACCCTGAATAGGGTTTCCAAGGAGCAACTGGTGAGCTTGAACTGCCAACCTTGCAGTTCAAATGGCTTTGCAGTCTGATGCATTAACTCACAGCACCACACCAGGACTCCAGCTTAGCTCTTCAATTATATTTTCAGGTGGGAACTGGCTAAATAGAAGGAACTAAGGTAATTCAGTCTCTTGATACTCAGGCCCGTTAAAGGGACAGTTTCTGTTATTCCCCAAACCAGACCACAAGTGTCCCCACATGTATTTCTTCCTTCATGTTGGCAGAGGGAAATCAGCTACTGTTTATTTAAGCTGAGTTGACCCAGCCCTGGCTGTCTGTAGCACACACTATCTGTGGGCTGGAAAAGAAGGTGGGAGTGCCTGTAGGGCAAACAAGCCCACCTCTGTTTTACCTCATACCAATTTTAACATATCTCTGGATGTCAAGGTACTCACACCTAGCCTTTGAACTCTTGGGAGAAGCCTTTGTGGTGGCTTCTTAAGACATCCGCATTTATATTAAAGGACCTTGGAAAGCTACAGAGAATCTGAGAAACGTTCATTTTATATCATGCCATTTGACAGCACTTAACAATAACCTTTCATTGATTAGGATCACATTGATTTACTCCAAGATAATTTCTGGTACTCTTTAAGAAATCCAGGGAAATTTAAAAATAAATACCCAAGAGTTTGGTGATGGATGTGTGCTGTGGAGTCCATTCTGACTCATAGCAACTCTGTACAGGGTTTCCAACAATGTAAATCTTTACGGGAGCAGAAAGCCTCATAATTTTCCCTCAAGGTCCAGTTTTGAACTGCTGATCTTGAGGTTAGCAGCCCGACTCGTAACCACTATGCTTCCAGAGTTCCTTATCCACGAGTTTAGCAGGAGGGGGAGAAAGAAAGAAAATGCATGAGGCCCCTGTGAGTTCCGCCACCACCACTATTTCGTTGATTCATACAGAGCAGAACTGTTCTGTATGGTTTCAAGGCTGTTGTTCAAACTCACCAGGCTCCTCAGAAACCCTATCCCTATGAGTAGGAACCAACTTGACAGCATTTAACAACAACATAAATCTTAACAGGAGCAGACAGCCTCCTCATCTTTCTACCATAGAACTAGTGCGCTTAAACCACTGACCTGTGGTTAGCATCCCTGCTTTAGCTGGGTGAAAATGAGCAACATTTGGAGAAGGTACAAGATGATAGGCAAAAGAGAAAAGGTCAAGTGCTTGCATTTTGGTCTTGGTTAATAAAGAACTGTTGAAATTGACATTTCAACATTTAGCCTTGTGCCTAAGGCTTTTATCTTTTTAAGCAACATTTTAAATCATACAAAAAAACTAAAATAGTTTGACCCAGTGCAAACCACTGTCCATGAAGTCTAGAATACTTGAGTCCAAACCCTTGAATAGTTTTATATACTCTCTGTAAGACGAATCAGATAATTCTTGCAACAGATGCCATTAATATTTTGAAACATTTACTGGTTAAAGGACTTTAGTGACTAACTGAAAGGTTGGTGGTTAGAATCCATCAGCTGCTTCCACAGGAGAAAGGCCTAGAGATCTGCTTCTGTAAAGATTACAGCCTAGAAAACTGTATAGTGCAGTTCTATGATGTCCCATGGTATTAATATGAATCGAAAATCAACTTGGTGGCACACAACAACAATGTATCGATTATAAGAAAATGATAATATGTTGCATCCGTTGGATTAAAGTATGTTATTAAAATTAATTTCACTTGTTTCTTTTTTTCAATTTCCTGGAGAAGGACATCATAAAGTAGAGGGCCAACCAAAAAGAGGAAGAGAAGATCCATTAACACAGGGTCTGCAACAAAGGACTCAAATATAGGAAAGACTGTAAGAATAGTACAGGAGGAGGTAGCGTTTTGTTCTGTGAGTCAGAACTGACTCAATGGCACCTAACTATAGGATCGCTATCTGGTATGACACTGTAGGATTAACAATGAACTACTAGCCTCAACATCGGTGATTCAAACCCATCAGCTGCAGCTTGGAAACCCTATACAGGGTCACTATGAGTTGGAACTGATTCGACCGAACTTAACAAGTGAGTTGGAACCATAGCAATGGGCTTATAAGAATATGTAATTTTCCCCAGGCAGCTTGCATTATATTTATACTGGGCATGTGGGAGATGGCACAGGAAACAAGGAGTGGAGGAAGGGAAATAAAACTGTGCTAAATCTTCTGCCATTTTGAAGTGAGGTATTCAGAATGTAGTTTTATTTACTTTGCATATATGGATCACCAGAGTCCTGGTGTGGTTCTGCGGGTTAATGCACTGGACTGCAAAGTCCAAACTGCAAGGTCGGCAGTTCAAGCTCACCAGCCACTCCTTGGAAACCCTATACAGGGTTGCTGTGGGTCAGAATTGTCTCAGTGTCACTAACAACAACAAATGGGTCACCATGAGAATGGCATTGACGGAAATGTCATTGTGTTTTGTTTTTTTGTTTTGTTTTGTTTTTCAGGCATATATAATAATTTACATCTCCAAAGGACACATTCTGCAAGTCTGCCTCCTGGCTACCAGCTCTTAGTCCCTCTCTTCTTAATCCATGAATCTAGAGTCCTCAGCCACTCTGGTTAAGGTCCCGCATTCTGCTTGTGCACTGTTGAATCTTATGAATCTTATCCCCATCTCTTTTCACCAGACTCAACCTTGGAACAACAGGGCTCTGGGATACAGAGATCTAGGTATAGCTTGAAGAGGGTAATTAATACTAAAATCCTTGACTGCCTTATGAATATTAGTTTCCTTGCCTACTATTGT